AAAAAAAAAAAAAAAGAAAAAAAAAATGTAAAAGAAATCAAAACTGCTAACTACCCTGCCGTGACAAGTGTTGGGCAGACGCTCGAGTTCTAACTAACCAACTAACCCTTAACTAATCCTAATCAAGTCCCGCTAGCCGTCATGCGGGGTGAAATAGGCGGCCACAATGCTGCTCCCTAGCAAAAGGAACTAGCTCAAGATCAGGTGGACTCGATCCCTAAGTCTAAGGCATGACAGTTTAGACCCTTACCTACTAAGCTACCTCCTTCTTCAAATAGAAGAGGATCAGCTCAAATCCATATAGAGTCGTGGGACTCAGTCGAGCCCGTTTTCTAAGTCTGTGTGCGTGTACACTTACCGCGGTATGCCTACCTGTTCGAGTGTTGGTCGGCTTGTGTGTGTGGGCGGTCCGCAAGGGTACCTGATTCACCTGTGGGCCCGACAAGCCGGTGCTCACTTGTGGTTGTGACATTGTGGATTGCGGCAGGGAAAACACTCAAGTGACGGGGAAAGAGACCCGCGATACATAGCGAAAAATACTCAAGTATCAGGTAAGACGGTATCTTACAAGTAGAGGTAGATGCGCTGGGTACTCGGGATCGAGCAGAAGAAGACAAAAGTTGGTATGTTTAAAGGCCTAGTACCAGTAGGTAAACGGGTACTAGTTCAAGTAGCCCGAGTCTAGGTCCTGTGCGGACGATATCGGAGTCTAGAACGGTGTCCTCCTTCCGCAAAGGGACGGAGGCACCGATTGTTTCGGTGGCCACATGGTCAGGGAGTCGTTGCCCAAGAGGTAACTTTCTCTCTTCCTCGCTCACGACATACGAGTAAGGAGTCTAAGGTCAGATGTACCGTTACCTATTATGGTTGGTAGTGTGTCTCTTTTTTGGCTGCCCTGGCCGCATGGCCATGGGTTGCAATAACTTTTCAATCGTCTTTTGATTTTACGAAGGCGCGTTGTAGGGGTCGTACCCTAAAGGACTTTCGAGCCTTGGTCGACCCCACTGCGGGTCCCATTTGGCTCGACCCGCCCTGAGCGTGAGTCGTTCGTCCCAGGGGCACCCGCACCTAGTGCTATGAGATGGATGGGGATGCGCCACTTGCGAGAGGGCTTTACATTGGGGGATGTAGCTCCGCTCTTGCGTCTAGATGGAAGCTCTTTGATCACTCGTGGCGTTGTCTCGATTCATTTGAGTCTGACCAGGCAATTGCTCCTTCAATTACGCAGGCAGTCCAGGGAGTTCATTGAGGGTTCATCTTCTTTTCGTGTGTAGGCCAAGCGTCATTCATTGGGCCACACACCATTTCACGAAGCATGGCAATTCCTACGGCATCATCGGGGGGCGGTCGCGCCGTCCATCCCCCTAGCCCCTATATTTTTTTTTGCTTAAGGCATCAGCACATCATTCACATCAACCACAGGTGCCCTTAGTCTTTTCGGCCTCTCGTTGCATTCAAGGGAGCCATTGCATTCAATTATCATACAATGTCACATCTCATGATCTATCGCTCACTCACGCTCTCAACCATCAAGTCCTTCCCACATTCATAGTTCACTCAAAACCCAAATCCTTCCCTCGTCCATAGTCCACGCAAAGCTCAAGTCCTTCCCTTGTCGGTTTTCCGGCGGATTCGGTCCCGCTCAAAACCCATCCCAAGCTACTCACCTGTGCAACACCACACAAAGCACGGTCCAAATACAATCCCCATTGGGGTCAACACACCGCCCCTTCCCACAAGTCTAAGTTTCCTTTGCCTTCGATGATCCTTTGGTTGTCTTTCCCTTTCCCTAAGCAAACCATGCCTTCACCTTAGTCATGCAGTCGGGGAAGATGGTTGAGTCAAACTGACCTTGGCACAAAAACAACACTCCTTTCGCTTTCTCAGATGCTCACAACAGTCTCGTACCTTCCCTTCTTGGTGGCACAAGGGACCGGCAACCCTCCCCTTGCCCTCGCTTTCCACCAAGTGAGGATCGAGTTCTTTGCCGTTCGTTCCCTGGAAATCTAACAGGTGAGGGTAGAGGTTAGTCACGTGCCATGGAGGGGAAGGGGTAAGGGGGAGAGCTTAAGAGTCAAAGCTCTTGGGAAAAGGAGGGAGGGGAAAGAGAGAGAGAGAGAGAGAGAGAGAGAGAGAGAGAGAGAGAGAGAGAGAGAGAGAGAGAGAGAGAGAGAGAGAGAGAGAGAGAGAGAGA